CAGTGCTTGGGCCTCAGCTATTTACCATTTACATCAATGATCTGGACGAGGACATTGAATGTAATGTGTCTAAATTCGCGGATGATACTAAACTCGGTAGCAGAGTGAGCTCTCAGGATGATGCAAAAAGATTGCAACAAGATATAGATAGGCTCGGGGAGTGGGCAAGTAGGTGGCAGATGGAATTCAATGTTAGCAAGTGTGAAATTATTCACCTCGGTAGCAAGAATAAAAGAACAGATTATTTTCTGGAAGGGGAGAAGTTAGATAGAGTTAGTATTCAAAGGGATTTGGGTGTCCTTGTACACCAGTCCCAAAAAGTTAGTTTGCAGGTGCAGCAGCAACTAAGAAGGCGAACGGCAGTTAGCGTTCATTTCGAAAGGTTTAGAATATAAGAGTAGGGAAGTCTTGCTGCAACTGTATAGGGCTTTGGTGAGACCGCACCGAGAGTATTGTGTGCAGTTTTGGTCCTTATTTAAAAAAGGACATACTTGCCCTCGAGGGGGTGCAGCGTAGATTCACTCGGTTAGTTCCTGGGATGAGGGGACTGACCTATGAGGATAGGCTGAATAAACTAGGGCTGTATTCTCTAGAGTACAGAAGAATTAGGGGGATCTTATTGAAACTTATAAGATTCTTAAAGGGCTGATAAAGTAGACACTGAGGGTCTGTTTCCCCGGTGGGAGAATCTATAACCAGGGGTCACAGTCTTAAAATTAAGGGTCAGCCTTTAGAACAGAGTTGAGGAAACATTTCTTCACTCAGAGGGTAGTGAACTTATGGAATTCACTACCCCAGAAGGCTGTAGATGCTCAGTCCTTGAACATTTTCAAGGCTGAGACTGATAGATTCTTGAAAAATAGAGGGATTAGGGGATATGGGGATAGGGCAGGTAATCAGAGTTAGGTGAGAAGATCAGCCATGATCTTATTGAATGGCGGAGCACAGGCACGAAGGGCCGAATGGCCGACTCCTGCTCCTAATTCTTATGTTCTTATGTTCTTATACTGCAAAATTAGTGACTGTGTATTCTGTGGACGAAGCACGGCAGCCAACTGCACCCAGCAGCGTCCCAGAAAGAGTCGTGTTGTGCTGAGCTACATATCTGCTGATCTCGGAGTCTCGCTGTGTCGCTGGGTTAGTGAGAGGGTGAATCTGCCAGGATTCCTAGTCCTGACCCACCATGGGGCGTATTGGCCAGAAGAGCCCAGGATTGATAGCACAACTGCACAAATCATTTTATACATTGTATGAGGAAAGGCCTCCGATTTTGTCACAAGACTCGTAGCAATAATATTAATAATAATCCTTACATTTGATATGGCTCCTTATCACATTGTTGAGCCGTCTCCAAGCCCTGCACAGGATTTTACTGTAACGTGCAGAGATTTGGGGTTTTCTGGGTGAACTTGGCAGCAAATCTGCACACAGCGACATCGCACAAACAGCCACAGAGTGTGTGATGATAATATCTGGGGCAGTGTCAGCCAAGCCACTGGGAGAGAGAGCGAGAGAGAGAGAAATGGCTTTCTCTTTTCCGAACAGCACCGCGGGAGATCTCGACTGCCCGCCCGACCAGGGTTCTTACAGGGAGGGAGGTTTAATGTCTGATCTGGAAGACAGTGTCTCCAAGGCTCCCCCGCCCCTCAGCACCGGGTTTGATGTGAGCCTGGACTTGGGTTAAGATCAGGTCGTGGAGGAGCTGAGTGTGTGTGTGGTGGTGGGTGGGGGGGGGGGGTAGGAGATGGTTGAATCACTTGCTTTCCACAGAGCTTGACTTAAGTTTCCATAAACTTCGGTGGTGAGGTGGGGGGGGGGGGGAGACGAGCTTCTTTCATTGTAAAAATAGAACGAGTTGAGTGGGGGAGTTGTGCAGCGCTGGTGGGACTGAGTGAAAAGGAAACTTCTGCTGGTTTCACTCTTAAAACCAAACTCAATAATCTACCGCGGGGCCAGGGCTTTGATGATTGTCGAGCGGGTGGTGGTAGTGGTGGGGAGGGGGCGGGGGGGGCCACAGGGAATGTAGCTAACCACTGTGACCACAGCCAGTGACCTGACAATCCTGGTACCTGGGATTGGGAAAGAGCAGAGGTGGGGACAAGGGGGTGGGGAGAGGGGGCTGGGGAGTGGGGGGGTTGTGACAGTGATGGACGCTGTGTGTGATGGGCTCCATGTGTGACGGACGCTGTGTGTGACGGACGCTGTGTGTGACGGACGCTGTGTGTGACGGACGCTGTGTGTGACGGACGCTGTGTGTGTGACGGACGCTGTGTGTGTGACGGACGCTGTGTGTGACAGGGCTGTGTGTGACGGAGGCTGTGTGTGACGGGGGCTGTGTGTGATGGGGGCTGTGTGTGACGGGGGCTGTGTGTGACGGGGGCTGTGTATGACGGACGCTGTGTGTGACAGGGCTGTGTGTGACGGACGCTGTGTGTGACGGACGCTGTGTGTGACGGACACTGTGTGTGACGGACACTGTGTGTGACGGACGCTGTGTGTGTGACGTAGGCTGTGTGTGACGGGGGCTGTGTGTGACGGGGGCTGTGTGTGACGGGGGCTGTGTGTGATGGGGGCTGTGTGTGACGGGGGCTGTGTGTGATGGGGGCTGTGTGTGATGGGGGCTGTGTGTGACGGGGGCTGTGTGTGACGGGGGCTGTGTGTGATGGGGGCTGTATGTGATGGGGGCTGTGTGTGATGGACGCTGTGTGTGACGGGGGCTGTGTGTGACGGGGGCTGTGTGTGACGGGGGCTGTGTGTGACGGGGGCTGTGTGTGACGGGGGCTGTGTGTGACGGGGGCTGTGTGTGACGGGGGCTGTGTGTGACGGGGGCTGTGTGTGACGGGGGCTGTGTGTGACGGGGGCTGTGTGTGATGGGGGCTGTGTGTGACGGGGGCTGTGTGTGATGGGGGCTGTGTGTGACGGGGGCTGTGTGTGACGGGGGCTGTGTGTGACGGGGGCTGTGTGTGACGGGGGCTGTGTGTGACGGGGGCTGTGTGTGACGGATGCTGTGTGTGATGGGGGCTGTGTGTGACGGGGGCTGTGTGTGATGGGGGCTGTGTGTGATGGGGGCTGTGTGTGATGGGGGCTGTGTGTGACGGGGGCTGTGTGTGCCGGGGGCTGTGTGTGACGGACGCTGTGTATGACAGGACTGTGTGTGACGGGGGCTGTGTGTGACGGGGGCTGTGTGTGATGGATGCTGTGTGTGACGGACGCTGTGTGTGACGGACGCTGTGTGTGACGGACGCTGTGTGTGACGGATGCTATGTGTGTGACGTAGGCTGTGTGTGACGGGGGCTGTGTGTGACGGGGGCTGTGTGTGACGGGGGCTGCGTGTGACGGGGGCTGCGTGTGACGGGGGCTGCGTGTGACGGGGGCTGTGTGTGACGGACGCTGTGTGTGACAGGACTGTGTGTGACGGGGGCTGTGTGTGACGGACGCTGTGTGTGACGGACGCTGTGTGTGACGGGGGCTGTGTGTGACGGACGCTGTGTGTGACGGGGGCTGTGTGTGACGGGGGCTGTGTGTGAGGGCTGTGTGTGACGGACGCTGTGTGTGACTGACGCTGTGTGTGACGGGGGCTGTGTGTGACGGGGGCTGTGTGTGACGGGGGCTGTGTGTGAGGGCTGTGTGTGACGGACGCTGTGTGTGACGGGGGCTGTGTGTGACGGACACTGTGTGTGACGGACACTGTGTGTGACGGACGCTGTGTGTGTGACGTAGGCTGTGTGTGACGGGGACTGTGTGTGACGGGGGCTGTGTGTGACGGGGGCTGTGTGTGATGGGGGCTGTGTGTGACGGGGGCTGTGTGTGATGGGGGCTGTGTGTGACGGGGGCTGTGTGTGACGGGGGCTGTGTGTGATGGGGACTGTGTGTGACGGGGGCTGTGTGTGACGGGGGCTGTGTGTGATGGGGGCTGTGTGTGATGAACACTGTGTGACAGGGCTGTGTGTGACGGACGCTGTGTGTGACGGGGGCTGTGTGTGACGGGGGCTGTGTGTGACGGGGGCTGTGTGTGACGGATGCTGTGTGTGATGCGGGCTGTGTGTGACGGGGGCTGTGTGTGATGGGGGCTGTGTGTGATGGGGGCTGTGTGTGATGGGGGCTGTGTGTGACGGGGGCTGTGTGTGCCGGGGGCTGTGTGTGACGGACGCTGTGTATGACAGGACTGTGTGTGACGGGGGCTGTGTGTGACGGGGGCTGTGTGTGACGGATGCTGTGTGTGACGGACGCTGTGTGTGACGGACGCTGTGTGTGACGGACGCTGTGTGTGACGGATGCTATGTGTGTGACGTAGGCTGTGTGTGACGGGGGCTGTGTGTGACGGGGGCTGTGTGTGACGGGGGCTGTGTGTGACGGGGGCTGCGTGTGACGGGGGCTGTGTGTGACGGGGGCTGTGTGTGACGGACGCTGTGTGTGACGGGGGCTGTGTGTGACGGACGCTGTGTGTGATGGACGCTGTGTATGACAGGACTGTGTGTGACGGGGGCTGTGTGTGACGGACGCTGTGTGTGACGGGGGCTGTGTGTGAGGGCTGTGTGTGACGGACGCTGTGTGTGACGGACGCTGTGTGTGACAGGGCTGTGTGTGACGGACGCTGTGTGTGACGGGGGCTGTGTGTGACGGACACTGTGTGTGACGGGGGCTGTGTGTGACGGGGGCTGTGTGTGACGGGGGCTGTGTGTGAGGGCTGTGTGTGACGGACGCTGTGTGTGACTGACGCTGTGTGTGACTGACGCTGTGTGTGACGGGGGCTGTGTGTGACGGACGCTGTGTGTGACGGGGGCTGTGTGTGACGGGGGCTGTGTGTGACGGGGGCTGTGTGTGACGGGGGCTGTGTGTGAGGGCTGTGTGTGACGGACGCTGTGTGTGACTGACGCTGTGTGTGACGGGGGCTGTGTGTGACGGACGCTGTGTTTGACGGACGCTGTGTGTGAGGGCTGTGTGTGACGGGGGCTGTGTGTGACGGACGCTGTGTGTGACGGGCGCTGTGTGTGTTTTAGGGTGAGCCTGGCGCTGGCCTACACGGAGCTGAGCGAGGAGTTGGGGCGGTTGCAGAGCCTGACCGAGGCCCAGACTGAGATCCTGAGCCGACTGTCTGAGGAACAGGCCCCGAACCACGGTAACCAGCACAGTGTGTGTGTGTGTGTGTATGTGTGTCATTGCCTTGGGACAACCTCCCGATGGGAAAGGCGTTGTACAAGTGTAATGTGTTGTTGTTTTGTGAGTGTGTGTGTGAGTGTGTGTGTGTGAGTATGTGCGAGTGAGTGTGTGTGAGTGTGTGCGAGTGTCTGTGCTTATGTGTTTGTGTGAATATATGTGTGTGTATGTGAGTATATGTGTGTCAGTGTGAGTATATCTGTGCACGCATGTGTGTGTGTGTGTGTGTGTGTGCGTGTGCTTGTCTGAGTGCCTGTGTGTGAGTGTGTATGGAAACATAGGAACAGGACAGGGCCATTCAGCCCCTCGAGCCTGTTCCACCATGGCCGATCTGTACCTCAACTCCATGTTACCCGCCTCTCCCTTGAAACCCTGACCTAACAAACATCTATCCACCACCTCAGGCTTCAAAACGTGACTGGATTCAGTCTCCACCGCCTTTTGGTGGCGAGAATTCCAGATTTCCACTCCTCTTTGTATGAAGACAGCGCTTCCCGATTCCACCCCTGAACCGTTCGGCTCTAATTTTAAGCTGATGTTCCCTCGTTCTGGATTCCCGCACCAGAGGAAAGGGTTTCTCGGGCTCTGTCCTGTCAAATCCCTTTCTCATGTCGAGCACCTGAATCAGATCATCGCTCAACCTTCTGAACTCCAGGGAAAAAGGACCAAGTTTCTGCAACGTGGCCTCGTGGTTTCACCCTTTAAGGCCTGGTATCATTCTGGTGAATCTGCGCTGCGCCCCCTCCAGAGCCGATATATCCCCCCGTCCTGAGGTGTGGTGCCTCATCAAACACATCCATACCCATTTCCAAGTGGGGACTGACCACGGCTCTATACAGTTGAATCATCGTTTCCTGACTTTTATATTTCCAGCCCACTTGAGATAAAGGCCAACATCCCATTAGGGCTGTGCTGTGCCAGGCTGTGCTGTGCCAGGCTGTGCTGTATCCGGCTGTGCCAGGTTGTGCTGTGCCAGGCTGTGCTGTGCCAGGCTGTGCTGTATCCGGCTGTGCCAGGTTGTGCTGTGCCAGGCTGTGCTGTGCCGGGCTGTGCTATGCTTGGCTGTGCTTGGTTGTGCTCTGCTATGCCAGGCTATGCTGTGCCAGACTGTGCTGTGCCGGGCTGCTCTGTTGTGCCAGGCTGTACTGTGCCGGGCTGTCCTGGTCTGTGCTATCCTGGGCTGAGCTGCGCCGGGCTGTGCTGTTCTGTGCTGGGCTGTGCCTGTGTTGTGCTGGGCCAGGTTGGGCTGTGCTGTGCCAGGCTGTGCTGTGCCATGCTGTGCTGGGCTGTGCTGTGCCGGGCCATGCTGTGCCGGGCCGTGCTGTGCCGGGCTGTGCTGTGCCGGGCTGTGCTGTGCTGGTGGCTATGTATTGAGCGGTTGCTCTTGTTGTTCCCCAGGTGGTACCGAGCACCCAGTGTGCCGGAGGAGAGCCGAGTACGCCAGCTTTCCCCGGGACGCGGGACACCGGCTCCGCGCCAGCTTCCAGGGTCAACGCAGCTACTCGGAGATTGGCGACTGCAGTGGGTACCACCGGGTCTCGGCGCTGGGCGACTCCGATGCTCTGTACAGCGCGGCTCAGTACCTCAAGGTGCCGGGAGACGAGGACGGTGAGCGGGAAGAGGCTGGAACCCCGCAGACAGAGTACGAGAAGCACTCGTCCGAGGAGGAGGAGGAGGAGTGGATGGCGCACAGCCCACCGGGCACGCTGAGCCGGGCAATCAGGCCCACCGCCTCCTGCGTGGCTCTGCCCATCCCACACCATCCCCTGCACCGGAATAACGTCTCGTATTCTGGCTCCGAGCACGCTCAGTCCTGGCCCTCCATTAATGTAGGTCTGCGCTCAGCTCCACGACAAACATGCGCGATGCGTTATACTGATACCTGTGGCTCCTGGTGTGCGTAAGAACATCTGGGCTAATGCTCCAGTGCGCCGCTGGGGGTGGGGCGGGGAGTCCTGAAGCTCAGTGGTTAGAGCACTCGCCTCGCAAGCGAGAGGACCTTGGTTCGATTCCTGGACGGGCGAAACCTTGGGCAAGTTTCCTTACTCCACACGCCTCTAGCAGTAAGTAGGAATCTGGTTGTTAGTCGATTGGTGGATAGCTTTTCCGGGGGTGGGGGGTGGGGGGTAATAATTCCTTCAAAAGATTTTTTTAAAAATTGGTCATTTCAATCCACGACTGTTTGTAGGACACCGCTGAGCGCAATTGGCTGCCACGTTTCGCCCACAAAATATACACTTTAATTCAATTTAATTTACTTTTCACAGTATATTCTGTGCAGCGCTTTGCGAAGTCTTGGAGGCGTGATAAGACGCTATATCAAATGCAAGGATTATTATTATTTATTATTATTATTTGAGGTGTCGAATGTGAGTTTGTTAATGACGACTGTTAGTATGATTGGTGGAGTATTTCCACAGTACAACCGTGGAAAAGCAAACTAAATTAACCCGAAGAAATTGAGAATTTTCCAAAAATCCAGAGCGTGCCGAGTAAATCTCCAGGACAAAGATCAAACTGGGGGCCAGGGCAAGATGGCAAACTCAGCCTCGTCACCTCCTCCCTGAGCCCACTGCAGCCGTTCGGACACGATTCCCTGGACGCATCTGAGCCTCTCCTCTCAGGGCTTTCCCACCGAGTCCCTCAACACCGTGGGACAGAATGGAGCTTCCCTGCTCGAGAGAAACTCTCCAGTCACAACACACGTGGCTGCTGTGCGAGTGAGCTTCAGGTGGCCGTCGCTGTGTGTGTTGTGACCAAATGTCCCAATTGAGCGAGGTTCATGGTTCATCCACATTTATGTTGGCAGCTGCTTCACACCGGCGTTCCAGTCCATTCCAATAAATAGCTCTGAAATTTCCATCTGTAAGTGGGATACATGGAACGGTTTGGATCCAAACCCAACAGTACGGGATACATACTGTTGGGTTTGGATATTCTTAAACAGAACAACTTCGAGGAATGGGCGGCAGCAGTAACATAAACACGTATACAGTAAAAGAAGAAAGAGCCCCTTAAACATGGCCACACCAGGGGAAGAACGTTCTCTTCTGTCGGCTTCTCCGAAGACCTTTCCCCTACAAATTCACGCCTGCACATTACCGTGTTCCCTCCCCCACCCCCCCCTCAGAGCTCCCCGCTCTCACCGCCTGCCCCCTCCCACAAACACCCGCCAAGCTGCTTAGACCTGGCCAGTTAACAACTCTATTAGAAACCAGGAAGTAAAGCTCTCTCCCTCTCTTGTCTCCTCTCCCTCCCTTTCCTCTTCCTCTCTCTCTCCTCCCCCCCTCTCTCTCTCCTTCTCCAGCTCTGGATGGAGACTGTTGACTCAGAGACACGCAGCTGTCCGCTCTGCCAACTGGCTTTCCCGCTCAGCTACCCCGACGACGCCCTCATCAAACACATCGATACCCATTTGGAGAACAGCAAAATCTAGCCGGGTGGCAGCGAGGGAGGGGAGGGGGCGAGAGGAAGACAATCGAAAAACAGAAGAAAGGGAAGAAGAACCAGATGTGATGTCTCAGCAGAGGACGGAGTTGTTGTGTGGCTTTCAGTGAACACGAGGGTCTATGGGGCGGGCGGGCGGTCAGGATTCACTATTAATGAGCAACGTCTCAGACACTGTAAACAAAAGCCCAGTGTCTGGCTCCCAAACCAGAGAACTGAGTGTGACTGTCTGGACTGTCTGGTAGGACCTGGAGTGGAGGGGGTGGGTGTAGGCAGGAGGAAGAGGGGAGAGGGGTTGGGTTGAATAGTTGAAGATTGGAAATTTGAAGAGTCAACCATAGAAACTTCGACACGGAAGGAGAAGGGAGGCCATTCGGCTCATCGTGTCTGTGCAGCTGCCCCAAAGAGCAAGCCTCTCAGCCCCACTCACCTGCCCTTCCCTCACCCCCTGAAGAATGTTTTGACGATGATTGATGGAGATGTGGAGATCTCTGCTCGGTTACGCTCCCGAGTTGTTGGAGCAGCGCCTCACAGCCGCTGGAGTTGTCATGACGTCAGGTCATTTGTGAGAAAATGTGATAATGGAGATTTTGTCGAAAAATAAGACAAAAATGTGTGCCCTTTAGCCTGCCGTCGAATCTTTTTCCGGGGGTAATAATTTCTAGCCCCCAAAAAGATACACAGTCACTCCACTTGGCAGCCATTTCCGGTGAAACTTTAAGACATTTCACAAGATCAGTTTGGATGAAGAAGACCCCTTTGGCCAATCTGGTTTCATCCCTCCAGAACACGCACCCAACTATCTCCCCATCACAGCATCAAGACGCTTTTTAAATGAATCCCAGTGTTCTCCGCCATTCCATGAAGTTACTTGGGGGAGGGGGTGGGGGGCGGGGGTGGGGAGGGGGGAGGTGCAGGGAGGAGCTGTGCGAAAGGCAAGGGTTAGTATTGCTGTTCTGGACGTTTTCATCTGAAAGACACAAGCAACCTCAGTGAGAAAAAGAGACAACCTGCAGGTACATTACCAAGTGACCCCTTAAAATGCCAACAAATGTACCGTTAGGTATCTCCGCTGGGCTGTCTATTGCAGAGCCCACAACCCCCCCCCCCCCCCGCCGCCCCCCACCAACCCACCACCCACCCCCCGCTCCATTTGCTGTGCTTGACTTATTGTATGTACACGTAGAATAGCAAACTGCACTTTATTCACTGATACACTGTGTTTTGCTACTGGGGTGGGGTTTGGGGCTGGGGATTGGAGTTGGGGCTGGGTTGGCGCTGGTTTGGGGTTGGGATTGGGGCTGGTGTGGGGTTGGGATTGGGGCTGGTGTGGGGTTGGGATTGGGGCTGGTGTGGGGTTGGGATTGGGGCTGGTGTGGGGTTGGGATTGGGGCTGGTGTGGGGTTGGGATTGGGGCTGGGATTGGAATTGGGGCTGGTGTGGGGATGGGGTTGGGATTGGGACTGGGGTTGGGGTTGGCTTGGACTTGCTGCTTTGAATTCTTCTTTCTGGACAGTCTCTCCGGACCTGAATTCCCATCCAGCCCTGGATCCTGAGCCATGGTTTTGTCAGAATATTGAAGAATGTGTAGGATTGAGGAAGATCATCTCAATTTGAAAGTTTTTTTTTTAAGAACTATACTTGTGTGTGTTTTGGGGTGGGGGGAGTGAGGGGCCGGGGGAACGGTGTCCAGGTGGGTTTAAGAGAATCAACACTGACCTCCTCACCCACCACCTGGGTGGGTGAGGTTGGGTTAGGGTGAATCTTTCTCTCTCTCTCTTTCTCTGGCTGATCCCAGAGGGTTGGGGTGGGCTGGCGGAGCCTACAATTCTGTATTAAAGATCTCTGGAGCTCAGCAGTGACTTTACTAACGGAGCTGGTGGGAAGGGGGAGGCGTGCTGTGTGTTCGTGAAGGAAATCAGGAGCGGTAGTCAGTTGCGAGAAGCTAAGTGTGAGCAGGTTTTCTGCCTGGGGGCAACAAATGGCGTTGACATAGGAGCAGACAGTCAGGAAGGTCTGAGTCTCTGAATGCTGCTAACCAGCACGTGTGCTGATGTCAGAGCGCGAGCCTGCGCCCGGGGGGTGGGGGGGGAACGGTGGCTGTGACGCCGACACCTGCTGGGGTGTGCGCGCCTACCGCTCCCTCTCACACCTTCCACCTGCTGCACCGCCGAGTGTTCCTGTTAAGAGTTGCTGCCTTCCGTGCCCCCCCCTGCCCCCCCCCCAACCCCGGGAGGGGGAGGGGGCTGCTTTACTGTTCGCTTGATATCTCACGCTCGCACAGAAAGGTTCTTCTCTTTATATATCTATCTGTGATTGAGCTCCTCCGCCCTCGTACACTGATAAGTTTTACACCCCCGTCCACATCTCAGTGGGCAATTCATGGAATCCTAGAATCCAACAGCACAGGAGGAAGCCATTCGGCCCATCGTGTCTGTGAAGGCTCTTTGAAAGAGCTACCAACTCGTCCCACTCCCCTGCTCTTACCCCATAGCTCTGCAAATTTTTCCTTTTCAAATACCTATCCAATTCCCTCGACCATAGAGCTTTAGGGCCTTTCTCCGTCTGCCTCCCACAGGGCTGTGGACCCTCCCCCCCCACCGTGTTGTGCACTTTTATTGTCTTTCAGTCGCCTGTGACGACGGTTACAAAGACCTCACTCTGTCTTTAATGTAAAAACCTCCTTCTTTCTGCCTCCCTGGCAGCCAGAGACCCTCACAGATAGACAGCCTGTGCTGGCTCTCTATATAGCCCGAGTCTCCTGCCCCGACGTCCCCCAGCACCACCACGTATTTATATATTTGCACCTTTTGTATTTCCCAAGTTGGATACTTATCTAATTGCCTCTTATAAAGCTATGCAGATTCTGCCTCAACCACGGCCCCAGGTTGGCAGTTCTGATCCTTGTCCTGAACCCTCTCGCTGTGAACGATCATGATCTCAGCCCCTATCTCTCTCTCTCTCTCTCGCTCTTCCCTTTGCTATTGGTGTAGGAGAGCGAGGTATCCCCAGAGGGTGGGGAGGACCGTGTGTCCAGCAGGGAAGGTCCTGAGGTTTCGGGTGTTGACATTGTGGAATTTGAGTGAACTTGACCCGGGTGGAATCTTTCCCCAACTGCTGGGCGGAGGAGAGGAAACTTTCCTCTGGACTCAATACATGCAATAACACCCCCCCATCCCCACACACACCACCGCCACCACCCCACTCACCACCACCCCTCACCCCCCCCACACACCCGTCTCAGGAAGTGCTTGTCAGTCACACAACAAAAAAAAATTCTTTGTATGTCCTGAGTGACTGCCTCGCACACACAGTGGCAGGCGGGTGGACGCACACACAAACACAGGGACAGGAGAACATATACGCATGTATTATGGAGTCCTGTAGATATTGGTTAAAGCACCCAAGCAAACGAGGACCCGGGTTTGATTCCCGGGCAGGGGGCGAAACCTTTGATAAGTTTCCTTACTCCACACGCCTCTGTTTGCCCAGCAGTAAGTAGGAACCCGGTTGTTAATCGATAGGCGGACTGCTTTTCCAGGGGGTAATAATTCCTTTAAAAAAATATAATAAATCTGTCACTCAATCCACGGCTGTTTGTGGGACGCTGCTGTGCGCAATTGGCCGCCATGTTTCGCCCACCAAGTGTACAGTCAATTCACTTTATCCAGTATATGCTGTGAAGCGCATTGAGACGTCTCTGAGACACGATACGGCGTGATATCAAATGCAAGGATTATTATTACTATCGTCATTATTACACTCACGCGCTCCCTGACTGGGAAGGTGTTTACAAACCGGTGACGTGCGCATCGGGAAGCTCCTCTGTGTTTCACACTTGTTGTCTGATAACCTGTGGATTGTGTGTAATTCAGTGCATGGAATCCGCTGTTCGGCTTCACACACGCTCACCTCACCCTGCACCTGGCAGGCCTCCAACACAGCAACCTCTTTCTCAAACATTTTTAATGAATTAAACAAATTTTGAACTTAGCCTCTCTTGTCAGTCCGTCCGTCAATCCATCAAACGTCCGTTGGTGCGTTCGCTGGAGTTTTGGCTGTCACGTCGGAATATCCTCGCAGCTAAAAAGTCTCCACGTTACACGCCATGCGGTGTGTGTGTGTGTGTGTGTGTGCGCGGAGGCCCTCGCTTCCTATCCACGCCTCAGCCTGGCTCGGTCTCTCGCGCTCTTGCCTCTGAGTCAGCAAGTCGTGGGTTCGTCCCACCCACCCCCCATGTCGGGCCTCCGCGCTGACAGTCTCGGCTGGTGCTCCAAAGCAATGCTGGGTGTGTGTGTGTGTGTGTGCTGCATGGTCGGAGGTGACAGGAAACTTGTCTCCCCGTCTGTGCCTGTTCAGGTGGGTGTTAAAGATTCTGCGGCATTGTTGGAAAAGAGAAAATGGTTTCTCTCTGTGTCCCTGGCCGTCAATCCCACCAAATAAAATTGCTCACTCGCTTCACAGCTAATCGTAGGATGTTGCTCTGCGCCAAATTGGATGCCGTGTTTGCCTGTAAAATATAGTCACTACACTTTACAATGATTACCGTGGGGTGCTTTGAGACATACCAACTTGGTGACAATCAGAATCTGGTCTCATCCAGGGGCTTCACAGAGAGAACATTCCCCGAGCCTGGTGCGGGGGGTGGGAGGGTGGGGGCTGGTAGGGGGTGGGGGGTGGAGGTGGTGACTGAAGGCATGGAGTGAGCAAGAGATCGGTGTTTGGAAAGCAACGAGGTGGTGGGAAATCTGCGTGAGCTGCAGTGGAGAGAGCTCAACCGCGAGAGGAATGGGAGAAGGGAGAGGAGTGGGGCAAAGGGACGAGAGGCAGTTCTAGAGAGAGAGAGCAAAGGTGCAAGGAAGAGAGAGACAGCACGAGAGGAAGAGAGAGAGAGAGAGAGCGCATCCTATTCCCTGTCCGTCACCCACTTCCTTTCACATTATACTTTGTGATGATTTAACACTGCCTGCTGCCAGCTGGCGTGAGCGAGGGGTGTGAACGCAGACACTGGGTGCCTGTGACTGAGCCATGCGGCACTGTCAGATGGAGTGTCAATGGGAATCAGTTGAATGGGACAATTATCACAAATGAGTGCCAGGTTCCTGCTCTGCACTCCGGCAGTCGAGAAGCTGCTCTGCACACACACCTGACTGCCCCGTCCATCCCACAGGGTAACAGGATGGGTCTGGATGAAGAAAGCCCTTCGGCCCATCAAATCTCATCTCTCCAAAACACCCACCCGACTCCCCCCCCAACCCCCATCGCAACAGCTTTTTAAATGAGCCCCAGTGTCCTGGCCTCTATCACGTTTCCTGGCAACTTGTTCCAGTCGTCAATTACCCTCTGAGTAAAGATAAACTTCCAGTTGTCTGTCCTAAAATTACCCTTTACAACTCGAAACCT